TCACTTCAAATATCATCTCCTAAACTTGCAATCATCATTAAAATCGTGCAAACAACATCTAAATCCCCTCAATCTTCATCTTTCAAGGTAAATTTTTCTAAACTCTCTATTTCATTGATTTTGAACATAGGATTAGTTTTAATTAGTTCTAGGTTGAAATAGTGATCGGGCATTGATTATTTAGTGATTAGAAACTAGATGTTACAACTAATTTCATCAAAAACACAAGAATTTTCCAAAAAATTTTAATTTTTCGAAATAAAAAAAAATGTTAATTTTCAAATTATTGTGTTTTGATTAAATTATGTTGTTGTTATAAAAACTATACATATTGTTTCTCAAAACCATATTTTTCAAAAGTTTTTCAAAAACTTTGCCCATTAGGATTGATTTAGAGAACCTTGAAATATTGAGGACTCATTTGAGTTTTGGGATTAATTGAATTGCATACATTTATTTTTAAAATTACAGGTTATCAATTCTATTACGATTTCCTAAACCATGTCCAATCCTAAACGTGCTAGGTCTTCATCTAGTCGTTCTAGTCGTCAAACAAATCCTCCTCCTATTCCTCAAAATCCTATTCCAAATCTTGATCCTAACTTGACTATCCAAAATTCTTGTTTCAATCAACCGGGTCCTAAAGATTATCGTTATTGGTTTTACCAATATTTTGACTCATATAAGATTAGGGAAGAACGTATCCCATCTCTTCAAACTATGGTTGATATTAACTTTAAATATCTCCCTATCTTGCACGAATGGAAATTTGATAAACTTTTCGAACTTGAACCCATTGTCTATCATCAACTTGTTCGTATCTTCTACTGTAATGCCGTTTGTATCAAAAATCGTGACAAAACCAAAACCATAGGAGTGCGTTCCTACCTCCTAGGTCAATATTTCCATCTTGATCCTGATTACATAGCCAATGCCTTAGGCTTGGATAATGAAGGTTTATCAAACGAAAAACAAGTTTTAGGCTCACGATATAAACGGAATGATAGTGCAAGTGTTTTAGATCTCCATGAGCGTTTTCTTCATCTTATGATCACTTTGTGGTTTCGACCATCCGGGGGTCGTTATTCTACTCTTAGAGCTTTAGACCTTTGGTGGTTGCATTGTTTTGAAAATAATATAAAAATAAACCTTTCCGAGATTATCTTTGCTGAGATCGTTGAAACCGTTAACTTAGTGCCAAATAAGAAACTCTATTCTTCACTAGTTTACGGTTGTATCCTTAGTAATCTCTTTTCTAAAGCCGAATCCGAGTTGGTCTAGATGCCTCATTTCCTCTTAAGAAACAAATCAATCTTCTTTCTTTAACAAGAGCGGGATGGGTCAAAAATAAGGAAACCGGTGCATGGGTTCGATCTTCTACTCCGGGAGCTAGTTCTTCACAAGCTCCACCCGAAGCTGACGAAGATCCCGAGTTTGAAAAATTAATGAGGGATATCGATGAAGCTGAAGAAGAACCTGAACAACCCGAGGAGCACACACAACAATCGACTCAAATGCCTCCATATTTTCAATCCTTTATGGAGACATTTGATTTCCGTTATGCGACAATGGATTCGCGCTTTTCTCTATAAGTCTCATTTATCCACAATGGGAGCTCAACAATTAGAGATTCTTCAGGAGATGCGTGCAAACAATGAAGCAACCAATGCTCGTATTAATGAACTAACTCATGAAATGGCTGCTATGCGAGCCCGTTTTCCTCCTACCGATCCGGATGCTTGATTTTGTGTTTAGCTTTACAACTTTGAACAAAATGAATATTGTTTCAACATTTTGAATTGTTTGATTTTGTGGATTGTTGGATTTTGGATTTATGGATAGTGTGAACTTATATGTTTGGTGTGTTTTATTCGTTATTGCATCATTTACATCATTATTAGCAATATGACCAATTTTGCCATATCACATTATTTATGAATATTGATTACGGAACTAATGGCTAACGTTTCTCTTAATTGTGATCTTAGCAGCTTATGCATACATATACCTAATCAAATGGCTTAATATTTTTCACGTTTATTTGAATCTTTTTGATTTAACAAAAAGGGGGAGAAGAAGTGTGTTTAAGTGTGTGTTTTTAAAATGATAAATGGGAGAAGTGTTAAAGTAAGGGGGAGTAATTTCAAAACTTGATTTCAAAATCTTAAAATTACTAAAATGTTTTGTTATATCAAAAAGGGGGAGATTGTTGAAAACATTTTGATATTTCGATATAACAAATTAAGTTAAATGAATTTTAAGATTTTCCAAAATGATTTTCTAAAGTATGTTCGATAAATTTATTCGAATATAAAAACATTACTCCAAATATTTCAAAAATCATTTTTAATCCTTACTTAAGTGTAAAATTAAGTTTTAATCTTAAAACAATTTCAAAATAATCTTTCAAAGTATTTCGAACCATTTCAAACCCAAAATTTCCAGATTGCTCAGAGGGAACCGATTCCCTCCCATAGGGGGTACCGATTCCCCCTGAATGGTTTGACTCCGAGATTTCCAGAATGCTCGGAGGGAACCGATTCCCCCATAGGGGGTACCGATTCCCCCCTGTTCAACGGTCGAAATATTTGAATTTTACACTTAGGGAACCGATTCCCTATAAGGAGGAACCGATTCCCCCCACGCTCCAAGCTGTTTTATTAATTGTTTTCACACTAAAACGGCTATATTATCTTCATTAATTATCCCCAACGTTCAGAAGTGATTCAATGTATTTAAACAAGTTCTGAAGCCCTTGATCAGCAAGAAATCATAGAGAAACAGAGAGAAAGCATCAAACACAAAGTTTGTGCAATTCAAGCCAATTTTCATTCAATATTCATTTTGCTTTCAAAGAACACTTATTGTGCTCATTTGTAATTTTCTTTGAGTGTTCTTTTCTTGTTCTAGAATTGTGCAAACATCTTACCTTGTGAGGTTTTCTTGTAAGTTTGCAAATTTGTAATATTCTCTTTGGGAAAAAGAGTGTTCTCAAGAGTTGGGGTATACTCTTGAGGGAATTGTAAGGTTATCTCTTTGGCCTCAAAAGAAAGAACAAATTAGTGAATTTGTTGGAAAATCCTTAGTGTGGATAGCTAAGGTAGTGGACGTAGACTTTATTTGAGAAAGTCGAACCACTGTAAATCGCTGTGCAATTACTTTCAATTTTCTGCAAAAGCTTCCACAAAAATTTTAATTGTCAATTCACCCCCCTCTTGGCCGATTCCGTCAATCGATTAACTCAACAGACTTCCTGTGAATACACTTAGCGGCGGTCTGCTAAAGGAAATTGAGATCGGGCTTGATTCTCATTGAGGCAACATAGTTTGAGTCGGGTTTTTCCAGATCTATAAAACAATTTGTCGCTAACGACGATAGTCGTAGTTATTCTCCGTAAATGACTGATATCCAAAATTAGATTTTTGGCTATCGGTTCACAAGAGAAACAAGTTACAAGGGTTGGGCCCTGTGCGAATAACAAAGGCAAAAATTTATTCTGAGGATCAATAGGAATTTGAGAAAAAAGCTGAAACTAGAGGCTAATTTCACTATAATTTTCTTTTTATCTCAATCTCTTTAAATTTATTTATTTTATTTTATTCTTATCTTTTATTTTAAAAACAACTTTTAAACCCCCTATTTAATCTCATCCAAAACTCTACCTTATCTCATCATTTTCTAAACATAAAGTTCACTTCATCAGAAACATCAAAATCCATGTGGATCGACTTTACTTCCCTATTCTACTTTCTCTGTCTCTCTTTATTTATTTATCTATTTACTTATTTATTTTTAAGAAGTCAAAATTATTTTGACAGTAAAACAACATATGTAAAGAAGAAAGATAAGATTATTTGAATTTTTCTCACTTTAATTTAAACATTTTATCTCTCATCCTATGTACATTTCAATTCCACGCCTGGAGTTTCAGATTCTCGTCTACCAAAATGGACTATCATTTTTTTTACCAAAACGATGGAAACACGAGAACGGGCTATGGCTAACTCTATCGTTATTTTACATTATTCGTATATTAATTTATTCAATCATGATTATTATGTGGTAAACAGTATATATTATATATGGTAGGCTATAAAGGTAGACTACATGTATAGTCGATAAATCATAGAGATGCTTTTACTTTGATCATTAAATTAAAAAAAATTATCAATAATAGCACGTGAAAAGAATTAATATTTTTTTATTAATAATAGCAAGCTATTGAAACCATATGGTTGTATGAAGCTACAAAATTAACTAATCAGATTCTAGGTGTTTTGTTGTCTTTGGTTAGTTTACGAGATTCTCTAACGTTTATGCAAACGCATGTTAATGTGTTTTGCTTTTACTAATACTACATTATTTTTTTTGCTGAAAAAAAAAGCCGAAAAAAATTCTATATGAGTGATATTTACAATAACATCTATAACCACGACGACCACCATTGCAATTTAAATATTTGTTAACAACCATCCATCGAAGCATCATACTCCACCATTTTAGCCACCGAGCTAGATTTATCTAACCAATCAGAATCAAAAATTTTCCGTGCATGCATCACACTTAAATAAATGATATCATATTTGGTAAAACTCCAAAATTAACAGAAGTTCTGGGTAATGAAATACAAAATTTCACCAATATTAACAAAGATTTCGGTCTTAGTAAAAACAAAACTGACAATTGATACTAAAAAGATGGATAGAGAAAAAAAAACCTATTAATTATTAATAATATTAAAAGAATATTTATCTTGATTAATTGCATAATGTCTTAAGGAATTGATTATTCCTCTTTAGTCCTGTCTCTGAACTAAAATTTATTGTAGAATTAATAAAACTGATGATTGTTTATATTTAATTATTTTTTTTCTAATTATTAGATATTGTATTATAATTATGATCATATTTATACTTATAACAAAAAAAATTAAAGCGAGGTGATTAATATATTTTAGAAAACGGTCATTTCGTATAATTTAAACAGAGAACGATTCGTCACAAAGCAGCATGCCATTTCACATAATATAGTAGAGAACATTATGTCACAAGGTAACACGATAGTAGAGAACATTATGTCACAAGGTAACACGATTCTAATAAGCATCAAGCTAGTGCTTATTGTTTATTATTGCTGTCATTTGGCACCAAAAGCTACATTGAGCTCACCAGGACTCCATATCCGAAAGGCCTCTGGTTGTAGCAGTCAAGGTTTTCGCCATAGCTAACTCCAAATTTATCACAGAACGTCTTATAGAATCCGATTCGATCCTCTACCCTAGAGTCCGGACCGCCTTTACCACATTCCAAGCCTCCATTAATAATATTTGTGAGCACACCGTACCCTGGAAGCCGACCCGCCGTAATATCATTATTGGAAGGTTTCCATGCTCCGGTGATCACATCATGGCAAGAAGGCTTCGGTGATTGCGGTGTCATCCAGAACCAAAGAGCAGACTCGAAAGCCATTGTTGCGTTGTTTATTAGCACAGTAGGGTTTTGTAAAAGCAGGTCCTTCTGTCCTATGGCCTCTCCAAATTGCCCATAGTTATAGTTCCTGGATATCAAATTCATTATTCAAAATTAAAACAATTTCAGCGTGCAATTACCATGGAAAACAATGGGTGAAAGGTGATGAAGTTACCATGAAAGTTGCATGGGACCTCGGCCACAATACTTTTGACCAGGAGCACAAGGGTACCTGGCGTCTGGCTGACAATAATCTCCAGGGCAACCTATTTCCTCTTTAAAGCAATATCCCCATGCATATGCACCACCTGGTGCATCCCACCCCGTTCCACCTGCAAAAATAATAAAATTACTTGTTAAAACTGTACTAATATATATTCGTTGAACGTTGCAAGGAATATCAAACTTTGTTTAAAAAAAATAGAGAAATTACCAGTAGTTTCGTGGGAAGTTTGCCCTAAGAAAGCAGCAACTTCCCTTTTCCGAGTCTCTTCGTCGCCGGTCGCAGCAAAGGCCGGATAAGACTTTGCAGCGGCTATGAAAGAGTTATACGTGTAGAAGCCGACAGCAAAACAACTGGCACTGTTTCTATACGGAAACATCGCTTCAAACATTTCTTTCGTTATAATCTCACCGAGAGCACCACCATCTTGGTCATCACCACCATCACCGCCACCATCGTCACCACCGTCGTCTCCGGGGCAACCACTTTGGCAATTTCCTTCACCGCAGTAGGCGTCGGAGCTGCCACACCAGCCAAAGTTGCTACAGCATAAGCCTCCTGGACACATAGCACCACCGGCTTGTGATCCGCATTGCTCAGCTGTGCCTAGGAGCACATATGATAATAACAAAGAGGAAGCTAACAACACCCAGATTTTCATTATTTAGAATCTATTTGTAGATATTTATCAACTTTGCGAGTGATGAATTTCGAGATGAAATGGATTACATATATATTGTTGGACGATGAAGAAACTGACAATAGTATTGAAATTTTTTAATGCCATTAGCCCATTATCATATATTATAAAGATGAAAACCAATATTGATTAGTAAAAAACTGCAAACGATTAACATGTGGTGATGTAGAAAGGAAGATGAATCATTGAGTTTTTTTTTCCTCCGGTTTCAAAGGGTTCGCCTAGGTTAATCCTAACTGATCCGGGTCACACATTTGGCTGTGGTGGGTGAATCTCCTAATAGGGATTTTCTGCATACCGAATGACTCAAACTTAAGATATGCTTGAGTTATATCAAATTGCTTATCACTTGAACCAATCCCCGTTGGTCTGAATCATTAAGTTCGTTAACTTTATCTTGTACATATTTGATATGTATTCTATAATTCTTGAGCTAATTGCATCACAAGTCCTTAAAGTATGATTCTCATTTTAAATTGATCCTTAAATTTTTAAAATGTCCCAATTTCATCCCTAAATTATGACTATCATTATGAAATAGTCCTTAAACTCTTGAACATTTCAATTTCACCCCAAATTATATGTATATACTAATCACATTCCTTGTTAATAAAATCGTTAGGCCAAGTTATATTATTATATGTTTCAAAAAGGTTAAACTATGGTTGAAACTAATTACATATTTGGATGAATTTGGGGATTAAATTGGAATATTCAAAAGATTGGGGGCCAATTTAGAAAGAGGGTCATAGTTTAGGGATGAAATTAGAATGTTTAAAGGTTTAAGGACTAATTTAGAATGAGAATCATAGTGTGAGGATAAAATTGAGGTATTCAAAAATTTAAAAACCATTTTAAAGTAAAGATTATAATTTAGTGATGCAATTTACTCACAATTCTTTGTTCAATCTGAAGATGGCAAAATCTCATTCGCAAAATGACGAGCGTTTTTATGGAAACAATATTAACATGCGGTTGGGACATTATTCAATCATTTCAACTTGGAATATATGTTTTATTCGATGATTGATATTTGAGGAATATATTATTGTGTATTTTTAATAAAACAGATAATAATATATTTTTATAAAATTTTATAATTAAATTTATTGTCAATTAAGTAATATAATCTAATTTACTCATGTTGTATAACATTATATATAATTCTATCAAATATTTATTCGATTAAAGTAAAAATGAGTATCTACTTTTCTAAACATATGGAAATTATGATTAACACATGGGCGGCTTTGTATGTGCAATTATTGCCATTAGTGATTTAGTGGTCCAATGTTATTGATTGATAGCATTGGTGGTAATTATACACAAATAAAATTGTTTATTTAACGTACAGTATTTAATTATATGTCTACATCAATTCCTCATAATGCAAGTTGTAGTCACCCTCTTATATGCATGAAGTTCTCGTTGCTCTATTTAGTGAACACTTGGTGTGAATGGATAAGTATAAAACTGTAATTACTCTGATAAAAATCTCTCTTAATAAGCATATTAAAATTTATAAACATAAAACACTGAAAGAAATTAACAAGAATATGAATAACATTTAATTCTTATCTTTTATTTTAAAAACAACTTTTAAACCCCTATTTAATCACATTCAAAACTCTACCTTATCTCATCATTTTCTAAATAGTAAAGTCCACTTCATCAGAAACACCAAATTCTTGTGGACCGACCCTGCTTCTCTGTTCTACTCTCTCTCTCTCTCTCTCTTTGTTTATTTATTCTTAAGGAGCCGAAATTATTTTGACAGTAAAACGACACCTGTCAAAATTGGCGTTGTCGCCAGGGACTTCGGCTAAAGTAACTGATAAAGTTGTTTCTTTTTTATTTATGACCATAAGTAATCCAGGTAATTTGGTAGAATTTGATCCAGAAATCGAAGCTCGATCCAGATGAATTCACGCAAAAACGCTTCGAGAAAAAAGAAGGAAATGACAACATGAACAACTGGAGCATTCAGATCCATAATTAAATACAGTCTTTTGATACAAACAAAGAACCGATAACCGAAGATACACTAGGTGCAGAGAACACGCCATAACCAATGGCAGATCAGACGATTCGACAGTTAGCTGCGGCACCTACCGTACAACAGCCTCTCTGCATCACTTTTCCTCAAGGTACAACTCTGTTTACTCTGAAAATGAGCCTTATTCATTTTCTTCCTATATTCCATGGGCTTCCCAATGAAATTCCACACAAACATCTCACAGAGTTTCATATGGTCTGTTCAAGCATGAAACCTCAGGGAGTATCTGAATACCAAATAAAACTACGGGCTTTCCCTTTTTCTTTATCCGGTGCTAAAGAATGACTATTTTATTTACCTCTTAATTCTATAAATACTCGGACTAATTTAACTAGAACTTTTCTTGATATGTTTTTCCCAGCAGCAAAAGCAAGTGAATTAAGGAGAAGCATTTTGGGAATAAGACAGAAAGATGGAGAATCACTTTACGATTACTGGGAGTGTAAAAAACTTTGTGCAAGTTGTCCACAACACGGGTTATCCGAGCAAACACTCCTCTAATATTTCTATGAATGGCTGCTTCCAAATGAGATGAAAACTATAGACGCTGCTAGTGGAGGAGCTTTTGTGAACAAAACACTAGCAGCAGCAAGGGAATTAATTTCGACGATGGCTGCCAACTCTCAATAGTTTGGCACTTCAAGTGAACCCAGCCGACGAGTTCATAAGATAAGTACTATTTCCTTAGAAAACAAAATTGATAAATTAACAAGTGTAGTTAATTCTTTGGTTGCAGGAAAAATTGGATCAACAAAAGTATGCGGAATATGCACAATGTCAGGTCATCCGACAGACTGTTGTCCAATGCTTCAGGAGGAAGTTGGCGCAGAAGCAAATGTTGTAGGGAACTTTCCGGGACCTCTCAGAGACCCTATAACCCATACTCCAATACTTATAATCTGGGATAGAGAGACCATCCAAATCTGAGTTATGGGCAAAATACAAGGCAGAATCAAGCCTATCAGCAAAGGGCCTCACAAACGTTTCAACCACAAAGTCCTCTTTAGAATATATTGTTGAGGGTTTGGCCTTGTCCCGAGAAAAAATTCAAAATCAAACCGAGGCCCATCTACAAGAATTGGATAAACAATTGAGCCAACTGGTTCAAACCGTGGGAAGATTAGAATCACAAGGAAAGTTACCTTCTCAAACGGAGTCAAATCCAAGAGAAAATGTTAGTGTCATCACTCTCCGAAGTGGTACCATTGTCAAACAACCAGTCCCAAAGGATGTTGATGCAAATCCAAAAAGGAGTAAAGAAAAATCGAAATCCCAAGTAGAAGAACAAGCAGTTGGCGCAAACCCTCCTAAGGAAAAGAGGATTGACGCAAATCCCCAGAGAAAGAAGGAAAAAGTTTCAAAGCCTAATCCGACACCATCTCCCTATGAAACTACGCCACCTTTTCCTTTCAGGTTAGTAAAAAGAGAAAACAAGCTAAAGAGAAGGAAATTCCGGAGGTGTTCCGAAAAGTTGAAATCAGCATACCCTTCCTTGACGTAATCCGAAAAATAACAAGGTATGCTAGATTTCTTAAAGACCTCCGTACCACAAAAATAAGGCTTACCGGAATAGAAATATATTATTGTCACTCCCATAACAAGGTATGTTTTATTGGATGATTGATATTTGAGGAATATATTATTGTGTATTGTTAATAAAATAGATAATAATATTTTTTATAAAATTTTATAATTAAATTTATTGTCAATTAAGTATTATAATCTAATTTACTCATGATGTGTAACATTATATATAATTCTATCAAATATTTATTCGATTAAAGTAAAAATGAGTATCTACTTTTCTAAAAAGATGGAAATCATGATTAACATATGGGCGCCTAATTGCTGATTCACCTAATGTGTATGCTAAAAGACGAGTTTTTACTTGCATAATATAATCCCTAATTATGTATTTTTTTTTATTTTAAAAATGACTATACATGTAGTTTATACCCTCTAGTAAAATTAAAAACGATGGGAATCGTCATGATTGACATATGGGCTCCTTTATCTTTTATGCATGTAAGTTTTATTCAATTGGGGTAAAAAAATATTAGCTTTTAGTTTCTTTGTGATAAATAAGTTGATGAAGCCACGTGCAGATTAATAAAGTAGTTGTTGTATGTGCAATTATTGTCATTAGTGATTTAGTGGTCCAATGGGATGGTTATTGATTGATAGCATTGGCAACAACAAATAGGTAATTATACACAAATAAAATTGTTTTATTTAACGTACAGTAATTAATTATATGTCTACATCAATTCCTCATAAACAAGTTGTAGTCACCCTCTTATATGCATGAAGTTCCCGTTAGTGATCACTTAGTGTGAAAACTCTAATTACTTTGAAAAAAATCTCTCTTAATAAGCATATTAAAATTTATAAACATAAAACACATAAAGAAATTAAGAAAAATATGAATAACATATGTGTAAAAGATATAATTTGATTTGATTATGTTTTGTCTACTTTTACGTTTAAAAAAAATTATTATAAATTTAAAGATTGTGAAGAGTACAAAAACGTAATATATCATGTGTCTCAAAACTCTCTCTCTCTCTCTCTCTCTATATATATATATATATATGTATGTGTATAATAAAATACTTTTTTAATATCCATGTAAAACTCATATTTACAATATAAACCCTCAAAATTACATCTCTAAAATTTCTCCTATAATTCTAAAGATTATGACATATTCTTTATTTATAGAGAAAATAAATTTGGTCACCAAAAATCTCTACCCCGTAAGAATTCATAACTAAATAAACTCAATCTCAAGTAATCTTTATCCATTATAAATAAAATAAAATTCAATTTAATTACCAATTATAATTCGATTTAATTTGTAACAATCTCCCGTATGACATAAATAACGTATGGATATTGGTCTTTATGTCTTCAATTACTTCAATTCTCACGTAAGTAAAATATCTATTGAAACAACATTGACAAGTCTTCA